AGTAAAGTTGAGACTCATTTATAAATAACTTAATGGTGGAGCCCAATGGACATTTTTATCTTTTGCTGCTGAAAGAGATAAGGCAAGAGATGTTGTTGCTTTGCCAGTATGTTCTAGCATTCGTGTGTCTGTCTGTTTGCAAAATATTTCACGAACAACTGGACAGACTTTAGTGAAACTCAGACAAAGTGATCATTTAGTACATTCAAACTCAATATTTGGAGTCAACCCAATTCAGGAGGGCTGCCGCAGCTAATAGACCTTAGCCAACACAAAAATGGCCCTAACTTTGTCAGATTTATGGAAACTGAGCTAACAATGATGATGTGGTAATAGCTGAGAGTCACTCACAGCATATAGTCTGAGACCAAATAGGTCACGCAAGATCACATCAGATTGTGCGTGATTATATTTCCAAGGTTTGACCAAAGTGACTGGAGCTGCCATTTCTTAACTAATGATCTTTATCTAAAACTCTGACAAGAAGGTAATAAGCGTTTCTTTAAGGGATGCTATCCTATCATCCATCTGTCCATTTTCTTTACTGCTTTTCACTTCTGAGCTGTGGAGGAGCTGGTGCCTATCTCCAGCAGTCACTGGACCCTGAACGGGTAGTAAGTCCATGACAAGACTACAATAAAGAACAACCACTCACTCACTCAAGGTATGCCATTCTTCAAAAAAATTTTTAATGACTTAATGCTGATTGTTCAATGTAATGTTGGGAAAAGGCCATATGAAGGCGTTCTTCTTCAGGTTCGTTCCTAATTTCTGCTCCACAGACAGAAGTCAAATATCTAAAAATTAGGTGAATGTCTCATTGGATAAAGTGTATTAAAGAGAAAATAAATTAATAAATACAACTTTTAAATTGTGTCGTATAGTAGAAAATGATTGTTGAAATGTATCTCGTTACACCAACAGTAGAACACTATTTTGTAAAAACCAGAAAACCATCCCGTTTAAATGTGTTATAGTTTATTGTATAACTAGAGGTGCATACAATACTTGAAAAAAATAACCAAGTAAAAGTAAGAATACCTTCACAAAAACTCACTTTGGTAAAAAAGGAAATTTACTGATAAGTAAAGTACTTTAGTAAAAGTCATTTAACCATTCATAATAATTGGTAAAGTAAAAGTCAAAGTATTTTTACACGCACTCTAAGAAATGAAGTGTTGAACTTTACTGAACCAAACTGGTTCCACTAAACTGAGTTGAGTAAATTGAGCGATGAACACATTTTCTTTAAAATAAAATGTATATTCTACTTCATTACACTACTAGACTTAGTGGAACCAAAGGACATAACGGATGAGTAAATTCAACACTTCATCTTTTAGAATGCATAAAACTCTTTTTGTGATGAGTTCTGGTTGTTTTTAATTAGTAACTTGGTGTTAAATTTAAAAGTAAATAAGTAAAGTAACATTTTTGTGTTTTGAATGTAAGAAAATAAAAGTAAAAGTTACAATAAAAAACTCAAATCCTCAAAAAAAGACAAGTACTGTAAGAGAGTAAATGTACTTAGTTACTATACACCTATGACATCACTTTCATCAACATTTGATTGACTTGATAGAATACAGCCTCATGGAGAAAATGGAGACAGGGCCACAGATTTATTTTTTTATGAAGATCCATGTTATGAAAACAAAGAAATAAAACAAAGCACATTTTGGGGTTTGGGCTCAGACCTGGTCCAGCATCGTACAGCATGTGGCACCAGAGCTGAATGTCTGCATTCAGAAACTTTTTATTCAAAAACACTGTTATAAACTGCAACATGTTAGAACGAGATGGTCACCTCATTTTTACAATAGTCTTCTCGTTATACCGAGATACAGCTCAGTAATTTTAGGACTCGTGGCAGCACTACACTTCCATGGAAAACATTGACACATTTATTACTTTTTTTTTCCAAAATAAAAGTCAGCATTTGTGCTTTCAGTGTCATGTCTGTTGTAGTTTTATGCACTCATAATATAAGACATTTGACATTAGACATTGATTACTGCTGAGAGTGAAGGTGAAGCCATGTGTTTTCTCTGTCTTTGTGTGTGTGTGTGTGTGTGTGTGTGTGTGTGTGTGTGTGTGTGTGTGTGTGTG